TTCCTTCTTTCTCTTTCTTTCTTTCTTTCTTTCTTTTCTTCCTTCCTTCCTTCTTTTTTTCTTTTTCTTTTTCTTTCTTTCTTTCTTTCTCTTTCTTTCTTTCTTTTCCTTCCTTCCTTCCTTCCTTCCTTCCTTCCTCTCTCTGCAAACTCCTCTCCCTTCTAGCACTGATGATGTTCCCTAGTTGGGTCACGAAACGTCTGCAAGAAAACCACCCAGCTCAGAAAGCACCAAGGACCCCACTGTCCTCCTCCTCCTCCTCCCTTCTAGCACTGATAATGTTACCTAGTTGGGTCACGAAACATCTGAAAGGAAACCACCCAGCTCAGAGAAGCACCAGGGACCCAGTGTTCAACCCTGATCTAACAAGATTCTCTTCTCTTGGAACTGAGATTTATCTGTGGTTATTTCACCGGGGTGAAGGGGAGAGAAACCTTTTCCAAAAATGCTCTCTAAGCCCCAGCCACGTTTCCTCCTCCTTTTAACACACTGCACTGCAGTTACGGCCCCTAAAAACATGACATCAGAACGTGTGTTGTTGTTGTTGTTTTCTTTGACATCTCTTAGATATCCTAGGATAGATTGTTGAATTCGTTGGGCACGTTTGTGGTTCCGTAGGACAGTCGCCACATTTTGGGAAGGACCGGTTTATTTCCGCGTCCTGTTTTGGTTGTGTAAGTTGCCCAGCCCGCTCCGACTGTGTGACTCATGGTTAGCAGTTATTTTTTTAAAACACACACACACACACAGAATTTCTCCATTTCTGCATGCGGCTAAGTTGGAAAACCCTTACACCGGGCAGAGTCTAAACGTGCCGCAAAATACACACACACACACACACACACGTTCCCACTGGCACTCCCTAGCTGCCCTGCCCTCTTTTATTTGGCTTTTTTTAAACCGAGATTAAAATTAAACCGCCAAATGGATGCAGGCAAAGCTCTCTCTGGCTTGGCAGTTTGCAAAAAGCGCCTGTTGAGTCATCCTGGCTCCCCTGCTATTTTCTGGACGGCAAGATTTTATTTCTTTCTTTCTTTATTTGTTGACTAAAGCCCGGAGGATCCTGGGTAGCACACGGCAGTAACTGAGATAAAAATCAAACCTCCTTTAAAAAAAACCCATCAAAATTAGACAAAGATAGGGAGCGTCCCGGATTAGAACACAAGGCTGATAGACATGGTCTGGCCTAGGCTTGTGAATGGAATATTAATGGGGAATAATAATAGGGAGAGCTTCTTTGGTCTGGGGATTTAAGGCAGCAGGCTAGGAAACGGGAGACGGTGAGTTCTAGTCCCGCCTTAGGTACAAAAGCCGGCTGGGTGGCTTTGGGCCAATCACCAGGAGACGGTGAGTTCTAGTCCCGCCTTAGGCATGGAAGCCAGCTGGGTGATATTGGGCCAATCACCAGAAGACGGTGAATTCTAGTCCCACTTTAGACATGAATGTCGGCTGCGTGACCTTTGGCCAATCACCAGGAGACGGTGAGTTCTAGTCCTGCCTTAGGCATGAAAGAGAACTGGGTGACTTTGGGCCAATCACCAGGAGACAGGGAGTTCTAGTCCCGCCTCAGGCATGAAAGCCAGCTGGGTGACTTTGGGCCAATCACCAGGAGACGGTGAGTTCTAGTCCCGCCTTAGGCATGAAAGCCAGCTGGGTGACTTTGGGCCAATCACCAGGAGACGG